GAAGGGGCTGGTTTCACCTCTGTGTTGTGAAGAGTTCTATATAGTGCTGATGACATAGTAGCGACATCATAAACACTAACTGATTTTACTTGAGTGATGGTAGGTGGTATATAATGGTCAATCTAATGTTGTTAACATTCCATTTATTTAACCAATAGGGGTAGATGCATTAAATTTCAGTCTAGGGTATTAGGAAGGGGCTTTGAGTGAAATTTTAATGCTTACCTTTGTCTTGTCAGATCACCACACATAAACTTTATAGAAATCAAATTTTAGGAAACATGATCCCCACCTAGAAATATAAACAGGCTAGGGAATAGGGTAGGATTGATCAAACAGTGCTTTCCCTTCCCTACTTGTAATTACTCGCGCCCCCTAAAATATACCCACCCCTGACCTATAAATTTCATTGTACTTTCTCCTCTATGTTCACTGTTTTCATTCTACTCTTTTTAGATGTCTGACTACTAGTGCTGACTCTAGACAAAACTGACCATGGAGTGACTGTGCTTTAAGTGTCTATTCTAAAGTCTCACTTTCCCTTTTTTTCTCTTTTGTCTCTCCTCAAGTCTCAGCTACAACCTCACCTTATGTAAGAATCCTTCCCCCATTCTCTTTAGTGTTAGTGTCTTCTTTCTGAGATGATCTCCAGTTTATCCTGCATATATTTTTTGTGTACATAGATTTTTACATGATGTCTCTTCCATTATATTGAGAGTTCTTTGAGGGCTGAGATTTTTTGTTGCCCTTTTTTTTTTTTTTTGGTTGGCCAGGGCTTAGCTTAGTGCCTAGCTCATAGTAGGTGCTTACTGACTTAATAGATGCTTGCTGATTTAATGGATTGGTCACCTCAGCCTCATCATAAAACGTATGAAGTCTATGGTACTGTGCTAGGTAATATGTTGAAATTGTTACATGATCCCAACTCCCTGCCCTCAGGAAGCTTATAGCCTTAAAGAGATAATATTGACAAGATTTCAAGGTCTTAACTCGTGCATAGACAAGATAACCACAGACATGATACAGCTTTGGAGATGCTACAAAGATATTTGACTTCATTCTAAAAAATAACTGCTACCTCCCCTTACTCCAGTCTCAAATTCACTAATTAGAAATTCATTCCTAGAGCTTATGATTTCTTATTCACTCTAATTCATTACTCTTCATTACCATACGTATAAACAAATATGTAAATATGTTAGCATGTACATGTATGTGTATATGCATATTTTATACATGTATACATACACATATGTATGTGTATAAATAATTCGTGTATGTATTCTCACTCTGTGAATTAGTTTGTCAGACTTCTTTTTATAGATAAAAGAATGGGTATGAAAACCTGAAGGAAGTTTAATTTGTATAACCAAGAGCTGTGTGTCTAGCTAATCTATTTAGTCACTAACATTAAGAAGGACCAAGAAGGGCTTCTTGAAGGAGATTGGATTTTAACTAAGACTTGAAGGAAACCAGGAGGTAGATTTGATGGAGCAGAGAAATACCAAGAATGGGAAAGAGCCAGTAAAAATGTACAGAGACTAGAGTTGCAAGGTCTTGAGCGAGGGTCATTAAGGAGGCCAGAGACACAGAATCACAGTATTTTGAAGGGAGGAAGATGTAGGAAAACTGCTAAGATAGGAAGGGGCCATATCATGAAGAACTTTAAAAGAGAGAGGATTTTACATTTGATCCTGGAGGCTAAAGGAACATTGGAGTTATTGAATAGAGAAACAAGAAGATCAGACCTGTGCTTTAGGAAGATCACTTTGATAAGCTGGGTGGAGGATGGACTGGAATGGCAAGAGACTTGAGGCCGGGAGACCAACCAGGAAGCTATGGCAATGATCCAGGTGTGAGGTGATGAGGACCTGCATCAGAACATTGGTAGTGTCAGAAGATAGAAAAGAGCATATATGGGAAATGTTTCAAAGATAGAATTTACAATTTTTGACAACAGATGGACTATGGGAGCTGAGAGTGAGGATTTGAAGATGGTGCCTAGGTTGTGAGCCTAGGGGACAAAGAGGATGGTGGCGCTCTTCATAGCAATAGGGAAGTCGGGAAGATGGACATTAACCTAATACTGCCAGGGATTGTAGGGCATGCTGTGAATTAAAAGATAAAATGAAATAGTTCCTTCCCTCGATGAATTTACATTCTACCAGGTAGTGATGGGGAACTTAATGTAGAACGTGAAATGCAAACTAGTTCCCTTCTTGAAGTGCTTAGGATCTCCTTGAAGTTAGCCCCTAAGAGGTTGTGGGACACATTAAGGATTTCTCTCTTATTAATACCCCTAAATCATACATATTCTTCCACAATTTGTGTTGGTCGTTGTTGTTGAGTTCTTTCAGTCGTGTCCAACTCTTAGTGACCCCATTTGGGGTTTTCTTGGCAAAGATAGTGAAATGGTTTACCATTTCCTTCTTCAGTTCATTTTATAGATGAGGAAACTGAGGTAAACAGGGTTAAGTGACTTGCCCAGGGTCACATAGTTAGTAAGTGTTTGAGGTTGGATTTGAATTCAGGTTTTCCTGACTCCAGATCTTGCCACCAAGCTGCACTCCGTAACATGTACCTACTTACTAAATACTATTTCAAGAAAATTATGTGCTGAGGAAAAGTGTAGGTTGTAGAAAATACAAATATCCCAAGTACAACTTGCTTTTCTTCTGTGACCCTGCAGTTGAATTTCTGAGGGGGGTGATTTAGACCCCATGCCTCATGCTGATCATTTTCCTGAGGGGTTATTCAGAGCATTTTTTGTAGGTGTGCTATTGGTTTTGGGGCTTATTTCACAGGAAGGTCACCGTCTGGACTCCCAAATCTAATGACTTTTAATAAATTACCAAAGACGTATTAAAATGCTAATAGTCTACCTCTTCAGGGCATTTTAACATTCCATAATCTTAAATTCAAATAAAATGGCCTCAGGCTTTCTAAGAGCTTTGCCTAAAGCATGTTGAAGGATTTGAACAGCTGATTTGAATTTTAGGTAACCAGACTAAGCTAAGGGTGTTTATTTATGACCCCTATTATTACATGAAAACACTTTTTATTTTACTAAAGAATAGAGTGTTAGGGAGCAGCTAGCTGGTGCAGTGGATAGAGCACCAGCCCTGGAGTCAGGAGGACCTGAGTTCAAATCCGACCTCAGGCACGTAACACTCACTAGCTGTGTGACTGTGGGCAAGTCACTTAACCCCAATTGCCTCACCAAAAAAAAAAAAAGGATACACTTTAGCTGAATAAAATAAAGTATGAACCATATTTTTCATCAGATAATTTCAATCAATAGCACTTGACAATACTGTTATTATTACATAACATGTATCACCAAAATGGTGAGATATTGCATTACATAGCATTATATATAACTTTTTTAAAGTATTTTAAATTCTATTATTTCAGTTGCTTAGTTGACCTCCATGGCCTGCTGTACTCAATAATTCAATTCCCAACTTCCAAGGCTAATTCCCCTTGACTACATGGTTGGAGTTCTCTGATGCCTAGGTCATAATCCTTGAAGGTGATTCCAGCCCTGACTCTACTTTTTCTCTCTGGTATGTGCAGTATCTCCTATTGAGATATATTGTGGTTCTACTGTAAAAACATCTTTGACAAATACACTGTTCTTTGGTAGAGTCCTGAGCCTGGAATCAGGAAGACCTGAGTTTGAAACCAACATGAGACAAGAGCTGTGTGACCTAGGGCAAGTCATTTAATCCTATTTGCCTCAGTTTCTTCATCTGTAAAATGAGCTAGAGAAGGAAATGGCAAACCACTCTAGTATCTCTGCCAAGAAAACCCCAGGTGGAGTCATGAAGAATTGGACATGACTAAAAATTACTGAACAAAAACCCCTTTATTTTGTAACTTAGGTAGTATCTTAAAGTGATGAAAAAGCTTCAAGTGGCTGCTCAGAATTCAATAAACCATTCATTTTCTAGGAGTCCATTGCTTATTTGGTATTACTTTGGTTGGCTCAATTGAGTATATTGAGGACTATTATTATTATTATTATTATTACTTCTGCTGCTGCTGCTGCTATTTCTTTCTTTATTTTTACTAAACTTGAAAGAAGTAGTGAGCCTACATCAACAAAACAATGTATTTCCTTCTTATGGATAGAACTGGGTCTTTTGTTTCCTCTATAACAAAGAAATGGAGAACTTCTTTAATTCTTTCTCTTGCCTAGAGTCTGGTTGCCTCGTATTTGTATTTTGGGAGAATAGTCATTAAATTTTCTTCTGCAAAAAAAGATCTAATTCTTTTTGTCTGATGGAATGACATAATTCAATTTCCTATCTCCCTCTTCATTGCCTGCACCCCCTCCCTCCCAACACATTTTTCATAGTTAGAGGAAGTGATGGTGTCAAATATATCACAAGGAAGAATTGATTCAGTAGTAGTTTGACGACTTGGCTGATTAACAGAGATCAGAAGAAGGAGCATAACTGTGGAAACCACTCCAGCATGTAGTTTTAACAGCTCTTTAGGGAGCTAGTTAATGAAAGAATCACTACAGAAACACAGCCATGGAAAAAAAAAAGGAGCATTCCCATATAACACTCTGAGGATATGTCATAAGTGGAAATATGCTCATAATTTCTATTTACACATAGCTGTAATTACCGTCTGCTTTAAGATTACTTTCAGTCTTCTCCTGTCAAAGTTGCTTAGACATTTCCTCTTTCACATTTCAGGCAGAGAAGTTCAGTACAGGCTACAGCTTGTCCCAAGTTTCTTTTTTCCTCCTCCCCCACTCCCCCTTGAAGAAATTTAATTATCTGTTCTCTGTGTGAAGAAAGCCCTAGTGTATCCAGGGACCTTGACTTCTACCGCCTGATTGGACTGGCGTTAATCTGATTCATGTTCTTGTTATCATTGCCATTTGTCTGGGAAGCAGACTTCTGCACTTGTATTAATGTTGGATTGTGCTTTGCCCTTTAAATTTGTGTGAGTTTGGTTTTTCTCTTTTCTCTCTTTGGATGCAGTGTCTATGAACCAGACAGAAATGTGTTACGGAGGAAAGAACGGGAAAGGAGGAATCAGGAAACTCAGCAGGATGATGGTGCATTTAGTACAAGTTACTCCCTCTTCAGTGAACCTTACAAGGTAGATATGTTTCAGCTGCTTCCTCTCTAGCTCCTTTTCCCACTGTCCCCACCCCCACTATGCCATACTCTAGTTATGGGAGAGAATGCTAAAATTTGAATATACTGCTCCCTGTGCAGTCCAAGGGAGACAACCCAGTCACCAGATGTTGATTTCAACCTCACCAGATGCTGACTTCTCCTTCACATATCTTCAGTGGCTATGCATACTTGGTAAAATATCAAATGTTTTTATATTAGAGCTTTGGTTGCTAAGGATTTTGGCAATGAGATAAATTGTTAGATGTCTAATTAGCTCCCCAGGTGAAGGTTGTGTTGCCCTAATCACTAAGCACTTAGCAAAAGTAGTTACATTTTTTTTTTAAAAGAGGTCGGGTTTATATTTTTTAAACATGCTCGGCTCATGCTTCCAGTCTGGGTACCTCTTTGGGCTAATAATGAAGAAACAATAGATGGATTATTTCTTATTTATACTAAATACCAGAAATCTAATCTGTCTTCCAAAACTAATTTTCTTCAGGAAATTTCACTGATATCAAGGGCTTCATGGAGCTTATAGAAAGCTCACGATGATAGGTTTCCTGTAACCTTAGCTCCAAATGCCTATTCAAACTATTATTTGGTTTCTCTTGCCTGTCACTCTGTTTCTGAAAAGAATAATTACACAGGGGGGAAAAAATAGAGATTGGAGAAGTTAAGAGGTCAACCTGAATTTTTGAGAAAGACTTCCAGTGGACTACAAAGAAACCAAAATTTGATCATGGAGATATTTAATCTGAATCACTTTGTGCAGTTGCAATAGTAAATTTTCTGGTTTCCAGGTAATATATTTTAACTGCAACATGATACCAGTGATAGATTTCTTCTTTATGTACTCCAAGGCTGTTTATAGCTTTTCCAGTGCAGGGTGGATTTAGAATGTTGACAAGTATCTTCAGAGACAATGAGGATCCTATCTTGATACCAGCCCTTAGCTCTCTTTTTTTAAAGGAGGAAGCTCTGCTTATTATAAAGTCTTCAATAAAGGCACACTATAATTCTTGTTTTGTTTTGTTTTCTTCTCTCTATTGTATTTATAGCATATTTGCTTTTTTCCCCTCCAGACTAACAAGGGGGATGAGCTCTCAAATCGAATCCAGAATACTTTAGGCAGTTATGATGAAATGAAAGACTTCTTGACTGACCGATCTAATCAGAGTCACCTTGTTGGAGTTCCCAAACCTGGGGTTCCACAGACCCCTATGAACAAAATAGATGAGCATTTCATTGCTGACTCAAGACCGCAACCCCAGCCTCCTATCTGCAGCACATCATCTTCCACACCAGCAGCTGTACCTGTGCAGCAGAGCAAGAGGGTCACCATGGGCTGGCAGAAAGTTGGGCATCCTACATCTGATGGCCAGCAGAGGGCAAGCAAACATGGGCATAGATTGCTTGATTCACACAATAGTGACTTCAAATCTGCTAACCAAAAAACCAGTAATGAGAAACCTAAACACTGTGTCTCAAGCCCCACATCCTCTTCCTCCTCCTCCTCTTCTTCCTCTTCTTCCTCCTCCAACTCAGCACAACCAGGACCTCCAAGGACCATGCTTGGAGACAGTGTCAGCAGGCAGCAGTCACGGTCCAAACAAAGCTGCAGTGTGGAAATGGGTCTCCAACCTCAAGAAAGGACATCTACCATGTCTGCCAAGCACAGCAGTGGTGGGCACTGTGTTCAGAACTTCCCTCCTTCTCTTGCTTCAAAACCAAGTCTAATCCAGCAGAAACCAACTGCTTACGTTCGGCCAATGGATGGCCAAGACCAGGCCCCTGATGAATCTCCTAAACTCAAGTCTTCAACAGACACTAGCGTACATTGTGCATCCTACCGAGGAGTACCCGTCAATAAAGCTGAATCATCCAGGACCAAGTCCAAGCTAGCAAAATTTAGCATTCCCAAACAGGGAGAGGTAAGTCACTTTTAAACATTATTTTCATGGAATTACTGAGTAAGTTCAAGATTCATGTGTGACCATTTGTCAGGCCCAAGGTTTCATTTCTAGTCCTCCTTTTTCTCTAATTCATGAATATGGATATTAATTCCATAGTGTGTGTGTGTGTGTGTGTGTTTAATATACTGACTCTCCTACTTATGTTATTTATAAAATATTCCCCTCTCTCTGTATATATGTATAGATATATACATATACAGGGAATCATTATATATGTGTGTATATGTGTATAATATACTGATTCTCCTATTTAAGTTATATGTAAAATAATCCCCTCTCTGTATATATGTGTACACACACACACACACACACACACACACACACATACACACACACATAGGGAATAATTTGTGATCTTTAAAAAAAAACTCAATTATGATCAGGACTTTTACTGTTTAAAGTGTGAGCCAAGGTGTCATGTCTGTGAGTTTTTATTGCTGTGGTGGTGACATGACTCCATTGTATCCAGGTGATATTTTGAAGAAAAAATTCTGTATTGTCTGACATACAATTAAGTATATTACATAGTGGAAATAAAAGCACTTGAACACAAATGATTGATGATTACTTTTGAATGTGTGAAAAGGTTATTTTTTAATGGATTAAATGTTTTTATCAGTTTAGGAAAAGTTCCTTAATGTCTGTCACAAAATGAAGCACATAATGATTTTGGAAAGGGGTTGTTTTAATAAGAATATCTTATAAATCATGAATATATAAATGCATCATATTTTCATTCAGTGTTTGGAATATTTAAGGCCTGGGTTCTTTGCTGTTAATCAGAATTTCTACTTGAACCCTCTGGTTCTCTCAGAAATAAACTTAGTGGTACAAAAGATAGTGGAGTCTTTAAGCTCAAGTACTCTTGGTTTGTACTTTTATTTCTGTGATAATTGTTTAATAATTTTATTACAAAGTGAAAGGGGCAAATAAATCTATTGACAAATTGAAGTGATATTTTATTTTAATACTTCATGTTTAAAGATAAATTAACAAGGGATTTGGATCTAAAGTGGGCTTTTTACAGTAGAGAAGCATTTTAAATGCATGTTTTAGAGAAGGTTACTATCACTTCTGTGTATTTTCTATATATAGTAGTAAGAACTGTGTATTATCTCAATTTTGTTTCCTCTTCAGTGCCTAGCATATTGTTTTATACACAGTAGAGTTGAATTTCTCAAATGAGTGACTGAAGAAGCATGAACACACACCCATATATGTATTTATATAAATCTATGTATATGTACATGTATTTATGTTTATATGTATGGGTGTGTATATGCACATACATACATATATATACACACATATTGGAGAAAGTGAGTGAGAAAGAGAGAGAGATATCTTGTACAGGGTATCCAAATCTCAGTACAGTTTTAAATAATCAAATATATGTTTAATATAATTAAATAGACATATTTGAATCCCAGGTCTTCACTTACTAGCTATTTGACCCTAGGCAAATCATTTAACCTCTCTGGGCCTCAGTTTCCTTACTTTGGAAGGTTATGTCTTCCAGCTCTAACAGTCTATGAGTCTGAGATAGACAAGGCATATAGCTTCTGGTTTTATTGATGCTCGTCTCTAAAATAAAAGCTCAGAATAGACAATTCAGCAGGGTCATTGAGAAACGTAATTCCCCAAATGCTAAATACAAAATTGACTCAAAAAGACTTTTAAGAAATCAATTTAACAATCAGATGAAATGAAATAAATGTCTTATGATTGAGCTGTCCTAGTTGAATATATGAAAATAATGACTCAAATTTTTAAAAAATCAAACATTTTTAGAAATTCCATAGATTAACCGAAGATAAAGCTAATATTCTCAGAGAAGCCTTCAAAAAAAGAACTTCATGTTTCTCAAATTTCTATAAAAGACACAATTTTTAAAAAGCAATAACTGAAAAAGTTTGTGAATTTTGGGGTTAGTAGTTGGCAATGCTGTCATCTGTATCTTTACTTCTTTATATGAGGATAACTTTTTTTCAAAAGAGATCTCCAATCTCTTTGATTTAAGAAACCACACAGGAAATACCCTACAAAATTATAGTCAAACTAATTCACATATATTTATATCGGCCCTGCATGGTTTAAGTATTTATTTATAGCATTTTAGCAAGGGGCTAAAACAGATGGGTTTTTATCTCATTAGGCTCTTTGATTTCATGGTCATCACCATCAGTTACCATTAAAGATAAAGCATTTTTACTGGCTAATTGGAATAGAATGTACCTTTGAATGTCTGGCAATGCTACACTAGGACTAACTTTAGTCATCAAGAGGGGAAAATATCCTGAAATGGAGAGATCCACACAGGGAAAAACATCCTATTCAGAGCCACTTCTTCTTCTCCCTCCTTCTCCCTCCTTCTTTTCAAGTTAGTAGAGTAGGGGACAGTTAGGTGGCACAGTGGGTAGAGCACCAGCCCTGCAGTTAGGAGGACCTGAGTTCCAATTTGACCTCAGACACTTGACACTTACTAGCTGTGTGACCCTGGGCAAGTCACATAATCCCACTGCCTAGCCAAAACAAACAAACAAAAAAAAAACAGAAAAGTTAGTAGAGTGGAATAGGACAGCAATATCACTTAGTCTAAACAAGTGAAAGAGTATAACAATAAGGGAATACTTCCTTCTCTACCTTCTCATTCCCACCTTTACCAAATATTTGATCATGTTATCTAAAGCTTGAAATTACTTTAGACATCATCTAGTCTACACTTCTCATTTTATAAAGCAATTAACCAATCCATCAATATTCATTACAAATGAGGAAAATGAGGCCCATAGAGCGAAGGGACTTGCTCACGTTCGTATAGGTAGTAATCAACTAATCTGGGATTCAAACAACACAGGTTTTTGAACTCTAAACCAATCACTCATAAACATTTATTAAATGGCAACTGTACCAGGCACTGTACTAAGCACTGGGGATTAAAAAAAAAGTTAAAAGTCAGTCCCTGTTGTCAAGGAGTTCACCTTCTAATGGGAGAGACACCATGTAGACAACCATGTACAGTCAAGCTACATATGGCATATAGTTGAAATAATCAGCAGAGGCAGGGCACTAGAATTAAGGGAGATTAGGAATGGCTTCCTATAGAAGGTAGGATTTTAGCTGGAATTTTAGGGAAGCCAAGGGGCAGAGAGAAGAGAAGGGAGAGAATCTCTGGCAGATCAGACAGTGAAAATATCTGGAGTGAGGAGATGGAGTTTTGAAGAAATTTGAAGAAAAACAAGGCCAATGTCACTATCATGGAGTAGATGGAAGAGTATAAGGTATTAGAAGATTGGAAGGGCATGGGGGGGGCAGGTTATAAGACACTTTGAATGTCAAGCAGAGGATTTTATATTTGATCTTGGAGGTGATGGAGCGGTCCTGGAGTTTGTTGAGTGGTAGGAAAGGGATGACATGATCAGACTTGCGTGTTAAGAAGATCTCTTTGACACCTGAATTGAGGATAGACTGAAGTGGGGAGTGACTTCTGTCACCCGAACTCATTCTTCCATACCACTTTGTTTTATTGAATTCAATCTATGAGTGAAGTGAGTGGATTGAAAAATAGTGAAATGGAAAGTTGTTCATAGTCAACACTGATGTGGAAGTTGGGGCCTATTTATGATAAAATTTTGTCTTTGTTTTAAACAAATTGTGAGATTAGCCAAAGACCTTAAAAGCACAGTTCTATGAGGCATGTAAGAGAGAGATAGAATTAGGATCTTGTCCTCGTGATGGAAAATGCTATCCACAAAAAAGAAAAGAACTATGGAGTTTGAATGCAGATTGAAGCATACTATTGGCTATTTTTTTTCCTCTGTTGTGTTTTGTTTCCTCTTTCTGGTGGTTCCTCTTATTGGTTCTAATTCTTACTTACAACATCACTAATGTGAAAATATGTTTAATAGGAATGTATATGTATAGCCTATATCAGATTGTACACCATGTAGGGGAGGGAGGTGGGGAAGGAGGGAGAGAAAAATTTAAAACTCAAAAACTTATGGAAGTGATTGTTGATAATTCAAAATAAATTAATAAGAAAAGAATTAGATGTTATAAAAATTGTCTGTTTTAATTGAAGATCTATTCATAATGAGAAAATAACCTTTCTTAAGTATTAGTACAATGCTATGAATGTGATCTGTAACATTACTTCTACTTTCCCCATCTCACAAAGTGTAGTTTTTTGTTTTTGTTTTTGTTTTTTACAAACCTTTAAGAGGAGCTCAAGATTATCAGTTGCAGGTGCATTATTAAATATTTCCAATTCTTTCCATGAAATCCCAGACTATGACACAGAAGATAATTAAGGTCATCAGTGAATAAGTATAGCTCAGAGCATATATTTACTTTTAAAGCAAGTATAATGGTTTCATGTGGCAAAAAAGTAATTTTCAGGATACGAACACTTCCTTAGGTTGCAACTTTGTTAAAATATGTGTGTATGCGTGTGTGTGTCTGTGTATGTGTGTGTGTGTGTATGTGTGTGTGTGTGTGTGTGTGTGTGTGTGATCATTAGTTCTGACATCAATTACTTCTGAATTGTATGGTAAGGGTTATTGTTGCCTGACCTTACAGAGGAAATTAATTTTGAGGGAACTGCTATGATTTGAATACCCTTATCCAAGAGGTCAGTAGTTCAACTTGAAATAGACATGAGGCTTCCTATGATGCTGCTACTATGCATCTTCATAGTGTAATGCTTTTGAAAGTGTTCTTTAAAATTATTCACCAAGACTATATTTACATGATGCCAAAACAACTGGTCAATTCAGTGGAAAAAAATCAGGTGACTTGACCATGATGTGGTACAGACACAAATGAAACTAACAAATATTTGCTGAATATTTGCTATGTGCAAGGTACTGTGCTAGTGCTTTGGGAGATACAAACAGATATAAAACATAGCCTTGCCCTCAAGATGCTTATACTTGAATTGAAGAAATTAAATACTAAAG